CAAATTAATATTAGTCTGTTGGTCTTATTATTTAAAGCTACTGATAAGTGCCTACCAGCTTTTAAATTAAATATAGATAATTAACCAAATGTTGAGCCTACTTTTGTACTATACTATATTATTAAGTTATGATTTCTGGTACAATGTCTATAATATGGTTTACGATTATAAAAGAAAAACTTATAAAAAAACATTAGTATTGGTATCAATGTAATATTATAATATAATGGAAATACATCTTAACATTAAAATAATTATTGTAATTGTTTACACCTAACATTTTTTTCTGGTCTAATAACAGGAGTAACTTTTACGCAAATAATCAAGATTAAAGTTTGAAGTTTCACTTCCATATGTTAAAATAATAATGCATTAATGATTAAAATACATTCATCTTGGCATTCATTATCATTATTACTTATTGTCGTTGAACTATACCATAAACCATTAATGAATCATGTTTATATAAAAATAATCTCTGTGTATAATATACCTACATTACTAAAAGCTGCAAAGATATTCTCCTGTACATAAACAGTTCCGGTATATTATTTCAAATACTAAATTTTAGTCACCCAAATTGAAAACTTTAAGATTTTCTACATCATATAATAAGTAAGTATATGTTTTTATATGTTTGTGAGGTAAACCATACGCATGAAATTGTTAAGCAAACGAATATAAAACCGCTACAAGGATAATATATAATGATTTTTTTGGTTGTGACTTGTTCAAATACGGTACTACCACGATAGACATATGATTAATATAAAATATAATAAATATAATTACAATAATTACATATACATGTAACATATTATATTGTTTTATATATCTGTGGTGCAATCACAGAGTCGTGTTCTAACATAATATGTGCTTATGCATTTATCGTTTCCTTTATAATTAAATAGTTGGTAGGTACATCTGACCATTTGCGCGGGCAATAAAAAATAAAAATATGCCTGTTCAGCCTGTATGCCGTGAAAGTGCTAATTTGCAATAATTACCCATAAGAATACATGTACAATATTATATAGGATGTCGTTAGGCTCGATATATGTATGTGTGTGTGTGTGTGCGGTGGATCAATGTCATAAACTTATAACCCAATTTTCCTCCGCAGAAAGCCGTTAACGGCGGCACCTGCAGGACATCTCGACGATGGTGACCGGAGGCCAAATTATCAATGTAAACCATTGATTATATATACTAGTTTTTATAATAATCAATGATAATACACACTTATGATGATAATAATAATAGTGCAATGGGTAGTCGGCGATGGCCAACGAAATTGCAGCCTCCATACGACTATGGAGGGGTATATGTGGCAAACAGAACAGTAGCAAATGCACTACACTGCGCGTATCATTGGTGTGTGCTGTGTATTATTTATACTTGTGTTGGCATAATAATTAAATAATAATGACGTGTAGGTACAATGCCAGCGTACACACACACACACACACACACACACACAAAAGCTTGAATAACCTCCACGATGGCGACGTCCAATGATTTTATTGTAATAATCTCATTCCGGCGGCGGTACAGCCTACTATAAACGTGTTCACGAAAACAAAAGCGAAAAATTAAAGAAGAGCAAACGACACCTAACAGCTTACAGTCTAACACTGCAGCATAATGCATTCGTGATGTAAAATGTACAATGAATGTTTATGCAGCACGATCTGTCTTTGTTATTATTCATTTGCAAGTTTTTTTCCCTCGTCACTCGGATTTATTGTTAAGATCGTAATTTTTTATTACCATTTCGGAGAGATACAATTTTGTTCCAAAGCATGTTTCCCGTGGTAAATTGTTTCGATTAAATCAAAATATGGACCTATTATGGTATAGGTTCCTATTATATGTTTTGTATGTTTTTACCAAAGATTTATAAACTATTATTATTTCGTTTGCCTGCAGTTAGGTAATATAGTTAGATCAAATCTACTGAACGTAAAACGCTAACTGTTAATCAGATATTATCGTTTACGTACTCGTCACGATAGTATCATAATATAAGAACGAGCTGTATAATATACACCTCGTGCGTGTATAATAGTACAATATTTTTCGGACACGCGCTGTGGTGAAACGTCAAGTTCAGATTTCGTTTTTAGCGCAATCAATAAAATGCATTTTTTCTCCAGTGCTACGATTTCGCTGCCCTTCTAAAGTGTAACCGATAACCATTAACCACTGCGCATAGGTACCACGGTAGGTGTACACCGACTGCTGCGGCGGCGATGGCGGCAATGATGCCCGGTAGCGCGGTGTCGGTTCGCCGCCGCCGCGCCGCCCGCAGAGCACATTCTCGTCGAAATATGTATGGAATGCAGTCTTGCGCGCGGTACCTACCCACGCTACCACCCTACCGACCGTCCTCCAAGCGTACGTACGCTATCGTCGCGGTCGTCGTCGTCATCGTCGGACAGCGAAGTAGAACTGTAGGAGGAGAAGAAGAAGAAGACGACGACGACGACGACGAAGAAGCGGCGGAAAAGAGGATTACGTGCGTGGAGTCGTGCAGGGGAGGGGTGGGAAGAGGAGAAAAAAAACCATACAAACATGGACCGAGGCGGCGGCGGAGGAGACGACTGTTGCGCTTAAAGTAGTGTGTCGGTCGTGCAAGGGAGGAGAGAAGTGTGTGCAATCGGCGCTTACGGTCCGCCGCCGCAGCCACCGCGAATGTTCGTTTATTCCCTCCCACGACATATAATAATATTATTATAATATGCAAATATTTATACTGGGAAAGAGTTGTTGTGCGTGCTGTTTGTGCAGAGTGGGGTGCACGTTGTCACTCGTGTGCTCACCCGAAATAAAAATGAAAATTATTATTGACGACGACGAGTTTTTGGCCGCGTTATACTTATAATATTTATAGTACCTATTTAGTTATGATAATAATAATATGCGCACGCTTATTTTTGTGGTGGCCGCACCACCACGCATGTAATAACGGCAATGCGCCGTATAAGTAATCTCGTTCCCTCCACACCACCGCGCAGGCACTATAATAATGTAACATTCGCATTGGTTTTTTGTTGTTTTTTTTTTTTTTGTTTGTCTCGAGAATTTAAAAATATCTACGTCGATAATTTATATTTTTCACCGTTGACATTTAAAACTAAACTAGTTTCGGTGAGGTGAGGTGGCCAGAGCAACGGTTTTTTAACAGATCAACTCGTTTATTATTTCGTAGGATATGAAAATGTGTTTTTTATAATATACGGCATGTTATTATATTATACTGGACCTCGTCAAAGATATTTACGAAAAAATGATATCAATATTGTTATTGTGAACACCAAGAAACTTGCAACAGAATAAAAAAAAATGTCTGCATCTAAGATGAAGATTTAAAAATATAATACAACATGATGTAGTGTTTAAATATCAACTAGTTCAATTTTTTTTTCATTTCATTGAGGTTCAATAATTAAATTTTAGATTTATAAAAATACTAGGTACTTTACAAGAAAAATAAGCATTTGTAATGGTTATTGTCCACAAATTAAATAGTGCCACCCTATAATAGTGAATATTCAGAAAAATAAATCATATTTGATAATAAAAAGTTCTCCTTATATTTCTAAATGGAATAAGTTAAAAAGAGATTACTCGTTCAATCATAAAGATTTTAAATGATCCGATATCAAAATATTGCTCGTTTATAAATCGGCTTACCCATCATACAAAGCCTCGAAGGACTATAGAAGACTAGAAAACCCTTAGGAGTACCTACAGAAAGCCATTTAGTACCATAATACAGATTGAATTTCTTTCTTGTCCCGTAGAATCCCATACATGGAAATATTATAAAATAATATTAGGTTCAACGTAGAAATAATAAGCTCAGTTCATGATATTCTCGTAATTCGTTGGATCGTAAGTTGCATCATACATAGTTACACTTATTCAATCAAAATAATACTAAAATAAACGGTATTTACCGTTTGCAAAAAACCGTGATTTTATTTATATTTCGATTTAATGATTTTAAACATAATAATATGTCGTTCCCAGGTCTTCAAAAAGAATGCAGACATCCCGAATAAACAATTATTTGTTAACACAAGACACATTTTTTCAAACTGAATCCTCTAACACTGGTTTCAATCGCCTTTAAAAATTTGTATTATTCTTCATGCCTCTGGACTCATAAAAGAAGCACCTCTAGGATATACGTTTATTTATTCATGCATCTTACTGAAAAATAGTTTAAGTTGTTGTATAGTGGATTAAGGAGTTGAATATATGTAATATATATATAGTTGCATATTTCATAATGTACATAGGTAATAAAATATGGTACATTAATACTTGATAGAGCTGTCATTGTTTTAATTAGACCACATACAGTGATAATTAGGTTCAAGATGACTTAACATACTTTTTTAAATAAATTCCGTTACGAAAAAAAAATTGTTTTATGGTAGATATGTTATATTAAAATCAATTAACATTCACTGATCTTTTGCGCGTTACCTATTTTACTAAAACAATAATCCACAACTTGATTTTAGGGAATACAGATTGGTGTTGATATGGAAATAGCCACTTTCGATTCCATCTCTAACGACTCGTAAACATATTATACATTTGACTACATACGTCTAGTAGAATAACGAGATATGTGAAATCCAGAGAACCTATAAGATGTCTAGCGAAAGTTAATTTAATTGTCGATAGGTAGTAAATTTAAAGTCAACCTAGGTTAACCTAACCGTAAGACTTATCTGTTATCAGCTTATAATCTCTTGTAATATCTGTCAATTTTTAAGATATTGGCACATTACACCTAGCCAGCGAATAACATTTTATCGCATTAGGTCCTTGGGATATAATAGTACATACTATTACATTTACATATTATACAGATAGTACAAATTATCAAAATATATAGTAGACATGAATACCTAAGTTACACATATTCAACATATTTAAGTACCAGGAATTTTAGATAACTAACCTACTTTTTTTATTTTCAGGCTGAAGGATTAAATTCTATTGTGGGAAATGCGTTTAGAATGGCGTATGCTGCCCAACTGGAGCTGGAGAGACGATCGGTGACGAACTCGCCAAAAACCAATTTGAACAATACTTCTTGGGTAAATTCAAAATTCAACTAAAAACGTTAAACGTATATACATAAAAACATTTTATTGCAAATATTTTACAGATGAAATTAAACGATAAATTAAATGTACAACGAATCCATAATGGCTCTCCGCTGTCGAAGAAACTTATCGAAACTCCTAAACCAACTCCACCAACCACCTTACCAGGCGTACGTCCTTTTGACCATGACAAAGGCTTAGATCTCACGCCAGGACAATTTTCTACACCAACTAGTAGTGACGACAGTCCTGATTTAAATACATACAAACGTATGTTGGAAAAACCCCCATTAATTAAACGTTTAGCCATGGGCCTATCCGTACACAACAACTGTTCTAACGAAGACTGGTATCCACTAGTTTGTAGCTCCTCTGTATCAAGCTCGCCGTCTACTAATAGTGATGATTGCAGTACACCTGAATCTTCTCAGGATAAATTAAAAGACAATAGGTAACGTCCGATGACTATTTTTTACACACATTTACATTCATTAACTTGTTATTAATTTAATAGATTAACTCAATGTAGTGCACGATCACCGGATTCGCCTACGAATATCAAACTTAAAAATAATTTGATTTCAAATGGTATGGACAAAACTCCAACTCCTCCGCCTTTGCCAGAACGATCAGATAGTCTTCTGGATAAACCAGAAGAATGTGAATTAAAAAAAGCCCCATGGTTTCAAGCTGGAATTCCAAGGTAATAAATTATTAAATCACTTTAAAACATATTATACATTTTAAATATCATATTAATCTTATTCCTGTAAACGTAATCTAGAGAAATAACATTGGAAGTTTTGGGACAAGAACCAGTAGGAGCTTTTATGGTTCGTGAAAGTACCACCAAACCAGGGTGTTTCGCATTGTCGTTAAGAGTACCTCAAGAATTTCATCCTCTAGGAATCGCTCATTATCTAATACTCAGAACGAACAAAGGGTTTAAAATTAAGGTTTAGCTTATACAAATTTTATTGTAAAGAAATTGAATGATTTTGACTAAATTGAACAAATTTTAACAGGGTTTTACGAAGGAATTCACAACGTTAACCGCATTAATAACACATCATTCAGTAATGCCAGAACTACTACCTTGTCCCTTGTCTTTGAGCCGGTACAATCCAACATTTGTAAAATCTGATTCCAATCAGGATTTTGCAGATATTGATGCGGATCCAGATTACAATACGCTTGCAGATTTTAGAAAAATGATGGCCGATTTAAATGTATAAACTTCTCAAAATAAATTAAATTAAATTAGCCAAAGCAATATTATATTAATTAAAAAAGATTTTTATTCTTAAATTTAAATATAATTTTTAAATAACAATAATAATAATATGAGTCTTAAGTAAAAACAAGTTAAAATTAAATACAATACATTTAATATACAAACCATCAGTTATATATTATATAACTATCACGTCTTAAAAAGACAAAAGACCACCAATGTTTTAATTTTAACTCATTATTACAATATTCTTTTTTTATCATTTTCCAACATTATGTATGCATATTTTACAATTCGTAAACATAAAGTGTATTCTGTTTGAATTTGAACTGTAAATTCAATCAATTAAAAATGTGTGTTATTTTAATGTAAAAATTATAATAATCCAGTTAATTTTATAATATTTGTAACCATGTATAAATTATTGTAATATAATTTTATAAATTTACAATTTTTTGAAAATTATCAAAACATAATTTGTTAACTACAAAAAATAATGTCAAATTATGAGCATATTGAAATGTATAATTTTTTGTAAAGTAAAAAAATATTATTATCATTCCTAGTCTCGTGTGATAGATATAAAAATAAATGTAAATAATATAATAAATATTTATTCACAAACTAATTATAATTTTAGTTGTTTTAGATATAACTTTCTTGAAACCATTCTCCGAAATAATGTTAATTATATATATATTAATTTCAATATATATGTTTTTTACCGTCGATGGCTGTGTTCCTATAATATACAATAAACTTACCTATATCAATTCCAAATTAATTATTGGATTATGTAAGAATATGATAATGCATGTGATCAAAATATATAGAAAATAAAGAAATTCGAATTGTATAAAAATGATTATTTTTTATATTTAATGACTTGACTACAAATTTTAGATTCTAGAGCGATGAATAAATTGATTTTACAATGATGTATGTTTTTTTCGTGTCTATATTCACGATAAATATTAATAAAATGCTAAAATGCTTCGATTTTCAACTTTCATGGTGGTTTCTGATACAAAATTGGATCTAGTTAGGCACTTTGTACTTTTCTGAGGTTAAAATTGAAAATTCTCAATATAACATTTGTTTAAAAAAACATATATATATACATATAAATATATAACACCGATACTTGAAATGTTCACAAATTGTTTTTTAGTTTGATACTCTATAAATATCGATAAAAAAATTTTAAGTGTTCAAACTAACCTCCCCCCTATAAACATCTAATTTCCTAAGTTTCCGGGATTAAGACGAAGAAAGAAAATCATACGATATAAATACCATATAAGTATATACAATATTATAGTAATTAATGATATAATAAATGCAATGTTTGTGATAGAAATTAATTCAACCTATCTTGTTATTAAAAATTGAAAGCTGACATCTTAAATTCAACTGTACCGTTACTACATATTATTATTCATGATGTGTCTAATTTACTAAACCGTTTATTTTAATGTGTTAATAGCGCTGTAGATAATATATTATTATTCGAGAGTACGGTAAGTTAATTACTGTAGCTTATAGGTATACATAATACAATTTTAGTATTGAATATAGGTAATTAAAAAAAGCTGACATCATTTAAGTTTAATAGCATTTATGAGTATCATCAAATATGTATTGTTAGAAATAATAACACATTGACATAAAAAAAAACATACAGCTATATAGGTAACGAAATATTTGGATTATGGACTATTTGTAATATATTTACTCATAGTATCGATCTAAATGTTCCTAAATAATACTAAACCTTGAGGTATTTCGTACTGAATAGTCGTATATACTCGTTTAAACCTAGATCAAAATAACCCTTTACGTTTTTAATTATTTTCTAAAAATATATATATAATTACTTCGTTAGCATTTAACCATTATTATTCTCATGTACCCAAAAATGTTAATAGTTTAAATGTGATGTTATTTAAATAGTGGTGGATTTAACGATCGTCTAATCTGAAATTTTATATGTTCTTTTAACTTTAAGTGCCAATTATTTTTTGAATTGTCGGTAGGTATAACAAAATAACTAATACAAGTTTTGTTGTTACCGCAAACTTGTTTAAAAGTCATCAGAACAGTTAGATGTTTCTACTTATGCTTTAGAAAATTAATGAACTAATGGCTTCTTCAAAGTATCAACTAGAATCTATAGGTATATAGCCTCGTGTAGGACACTTCCAAATGTATTTTTTTAGTTCATTGCTAACTAACAATTAAGTATATAGACAGAAAAAATATCTACATACAAATATATTATAAGTATTAGGTGGTTATAGTGAAGGTACTATCTATGTAAAAAGCTTAGGTATTGTTTATATATATTACAGATTCAAAATTGTAGATAAATACGTTTATACAAAGTAGGTAAGTATATGATAATAATTATATAATTTATCTATTTCTTAATGACTACTTAATACAGAGATTACTTATAGGTAGATATGATAGGTTCTTAATGTAGGTATTATATCTAGTATATAGAACTTACCTTATTTTATGAGTTATAGCTATGTAGGTATTGAATTAGTTGTTGTAAGTAGTGTTAAACGACACATTATATACTGAATACGAATCTATACGCAAAAATGGTAAAAAAAATACATTGGTAGGTACTATATTTACATAAAATGCATAGTTATAATAATTACTTCGATATAATTAGTGAACACGTTCTCATAACGACAAAAAAAAACTTGGCCCAGTAATATACTAATATAACATTTACCTTTGAACAAACAAACAATGCCACCATCAAACCGTATATTAATACTAGTGTTTATTATAATATATTTGCATTAATAACTGACATGAAACAAAATATACGATAAAATGATTGTCTCCATGAGATCACATATGTTGTAAAACCAAATCTAATTTTATTATTTTCGTATGTGTCGCTCTGCTGTATGAGTGTACTGTGTTGAGTGTAGTTGATCAGAGTATAATAACTAATAAGTTTTACATTTGAATTCAATAATATAAATCAACAATAATAATCATTGTAAGCTAATAACAATTATGAGTGGAGATGGTTTAACTACTGCCTAAGCAATACAAGTTGTTTTTTTAGCGTAGTTTGGAATTTGTAGGTAGGTACAATTGAAGATAAAGATATAAAAGATATAAATTCGAATACTAGAGATTATTGTGTCATGTCTTATGGATGATCCTGAGGCAATACGAGCTTCTATTTTGAAATAGGAACTACCCAAACACCCTTAAAAATTCAAAATGTTTAAGAATTTTTATGTGCCTAACTACATCAAAATTTGAAGCAGACATTTTTGAGTTATAAATCTTTGTGTACCAAGCATAATATATATACTGTAATGATTTAAGTAAATATAAGGGCTTCGATAATTTTAAAAACCTAGTAGGTATAGTTACTACTTACTTTATTTAATATTGATCTATCAATATTCAATATAAATAATTTATAAGAATGGTTCAAGTCTAATAAACTTATAAATACTACATCTAATAATACTTAAGTGGCTTACATTTTTGTAAAACCATTTTTAAGGATTATTATCCTTGGTAGGTACATTCATTTTAATAACTTACAAAATACCAATGAGAATTTTGATTTAGATAAATCAAAATTTTCAGAAAAATCATCTGCTAAATAATTTGAAGTAAAAAAGGAGGAATCTCATTTTAAAGATAGAAGTTAGTATCACCAAAGGACACTCCTTTAGTAGTACAAAATAATATTACATATGTATTTTTGATATTTTTTAATTGATATTGTAGCAATATGTTAGGAGTCTAGTAATACATATTCAGGATTTTGGCCCTACAAATAAAATTGTATCGACAGCTAAAGAAAAAAAATTGCAGTAAATACTAAATAACCCAAAACAAGTGAAAATAATTTTAAAATTGTATCAAGTATAGAAAATGTAAAAATTATTAAATAAGCATTTGGACCATTTGGTAAACATTAGGACGCGAATTTTGATATAGCAATTGAAACACTTGTCTTTCCGATTATATTAGAGCAAATGAAAATTATGAAGATCCTTTACTTCTATCGGAACCATAAATGTTGAATTATACGCCATATGTGTACATCTATATTTTTATAAGCATTAATTATATTGACACTACATCTACATTGATCATTTTAATGCATCAATGAGGTAAAATTTAAAAATTAACTCAATTTTTTTAAGACCGTAAAAACGGAAAAATAAATAATGCAAGATGAATTAGATGATTAACTCCAAAAGCTGTTCCAAAGGCTACTTATTTCGAGAGAAATCATGAAAATTATACAAACGGGAACCGTTGACATGTACGGCCGAATAATAACATTATAATAAAAAAAATAATTGAAGATGACGATAAAGAAAATAACAAAGCTTATCCCCCCCCCCCAAAAAAAAATATTCGATTATTTCCTAAAATGTTAATATGCTTTTTAATATTCAACTATAATTCTTATTTTTTTTTTTTTTTTTGAAAAAAATGTAATTATTTAATTTTTATTTAAAGCTTATAAATTATAATTATTTTATATGCCTATGATAAATGTGGTAAATCGTAAATATCATTAGCTTAATATACCTGAAAAACATGAATATACGTTTTCACGCACCAACATCATGTTAGACCCAAAGTTATTCGTATTATATTCTTTAATAGTTTAGAAGCTTTATATGTCCACTTTTCTAAGCCAGCTATAGACCAAAAATTGACAAATATGCAAAATAAACATGGGTTGAAAACACTAAACTTTAAAAACTAAGTGATGCCACTATACCAGATGGGTTTATAGATTTAAAAGCTATAATGCACTTATATAAAATCATAAATCTATTTTAATGACTTTGGATGATGAGATACTTGAAAAAAAATCAAAAGATGTGGCGCAAGCAATTGGTAAGTTATTTAAATTGTTTAATTATGAGCTACATTGTTCTTCTTTTAATGTTTGTACCTATTTCATTATAAGAGTCCGTGTAGCACTAAGTAATTTTAAAATTATATTATATTTATTTATATTACATGAAGTTCTTCAGTCCATACATGTATTAAGTACTCAGCTTCAGTTAAAAGGAACAACTCTGGGCAGATCGAGAAATTTGATAAAGGAAATAATTTTAACTCTCGAAAATAATCGAAGGGTTGAACATTTTTCTAAACTTAGGGATGATTTTAAAAAAAATTGTTTTTAACATAATATTTCAATTAATATCCAATTAAAATGTAACAACTTACACTATAATATTATATATCAGTTTAAATACAGAAAATACAGTTTAATGATATTAACAGGATTAAAAAGACTCAGAAAATAACCAACTTACTTAAGTAATTATGATGTAACTGTTTCATCTACCGCAGAACAAACCAACGATGACGATTCGAATAAAAAAGAATACCTATTGGAAATTAAATGCCTTCTAATTATTTGCAGCACGAAATACGATTTTCCGAAGAAAGTTTACGCCTTGTTACTTCTGCTGATAGACTAATGCAATTTTGATAATGAATGAAATTCATTCTTGGTTAGGTACCATAAAAACCATTTAGTATTTACAATGTAAAACATTTCATAGTAAACTTCATTTTCAGGATACATTCATATATTAAACATTAACGAAAATAATTTGAAAATCGAAATGTCGGTGTTCAAAAATGTTATTATTGGTTAAAATATAAAATACTTCAATTTTATGAAAGAAAATTTGAATAAAAAAGTGTTTCCAAATTTATATTTAATGGTACCAATAGCTATTACTTTGCCGATTTCATCCGCCACATCTGAACGCTCTTTTTCAGCTATGAGGAGAATAAACACATACGTACACTCCACAATGAACCAAGATAAGTTTAGTAACTTATCAATACTTCATATTGAAAAAGATATTGAGATTCAAATTGAACAAATATTAAAAATATTTATTGATAAAAATAAAATAAAAATGAAACTTTGAATAAATAAGTATTTGTTGGTGTGTTTTTATATTTTCAAGTGAATATATAGGGGGGGCAACGCCCACACGGGTTATTTTTCATGTAATGTCAGGTGGGGTTATAGCTCTCCCAACATGTTAACCCTAGTTTCACCACTACAAGTAAAGTAACAATTGATAAAAAAAAAAACCAAAATTTAATCTCAACGGAATTCTGGATTATATTGAGTAATGTTTCGATTGGAGCGTTCCGGCGTACTTCACAAATAATTTGTTAAAATGGACGCTTTTTAACCATCATTAAGGGTAGGGGCTGGGTCACTGAGTCTCTCTGCGTCCCCCCACATTAACCCCTGAGGATAAAGTATATTGTGTATACATTTTATATTTTTATAAATTGTTATAACAATTGCCTACTGTTATTCAGTTATTGATTTCAATTCTCTCCTAATTGGTTAATGGTTATAATGTAATCCTTAAAGTTCCATATAGACATATAGTTGTTAACAAACTACAAGCCAATATTATTTCTTTACTTGATCTTTGCTAGTTTGCTGTTAATAATATCTTTAAGAGTGTTATTGTGAGATAATAATATTTCAATAATGAATAATTGTCTCCCAGCTAAAATGTGATGGTGGGAAGGTACAAATGGAAACCTACTGACAAAGTATTGGGTATTTTATATTTTGTATTTATATACAATATTAATTATTATACTATAATAGTTATAAATTAGATTAGAATTTAGATAATAATTAATATTAGGTCATTTAATAACACAAATAAAGTAATTTTATCAACACAAATAATAATATCGATAGGTCTTGTTGGTAATTACTTCTCGACACTCATTAGTCATTGTTAGATACTGAAGAACGTTAAGAAGTCCACATGTACCAAACCACATCTAAAAATATCCAGAAAAGTACTAAGTATCTACGTCGCACCTAATAAAATCGGAGACTGCAATCCATGCGAAACCCCAAAAACTAATAATAAGTAAATTAATAAATTAGATAATGATTATTCAGGCGTGACTTTGAATTCGCAGGAATTTGGAAAAGTATAAAAATAAATTAACTTGAGTATAGTTAGAGAAATAAAGACACTCTCAGTCAAATAAATTAAAAAAGAAAAATTATTAAATTAACTATAAAATTATGTAATGGAAACTGGAAATCGTAATTCATCCAGATACCTAAGCAGTAAACCCTATGAATTAATAAATATAACAGACATAAGTAGATACTGGATGGTTATAAATATAACCTAGTGATCGCTGGAAAAAGTATAAAAAATTTAGGATGCATACAAAATTAAAGAACTGTAATGCAATATAACAAAAAAAAATAGTAATGTGCCAAAGGGCACTCACAAGCAATTCTATATTAAAAACAAAACAATTAAATTAAGTTTACAATTATGTTCTGATGGATACAGAGAAAATTATCTTAGCGTATTTTTAATTCTTAAAAGTTTATTTCAAAAATAAATAATTAAATAATTAACTTAATGTATTTACTTTTTTAAATGTTTTATTTGTTAATACTCAGTCTTGTAAGTAAGCACTAAGTCAGTGGATCCCAACCTTAATAGGTGTGGCCCTAAAATTTTAAATTTAACTTTCCGTCATCATTAAAAAATCATAAAACATAGGTAATTTTAAACATAATTCTCATTATAATATAAAATAATACAAATATGAACTAAAACATAATAACCAATATCTAAACATTATTTATGATATTTATAACGAATATTTTTCCTCGATATTTTGTTATTTAATTGTTTTAGTAATATATATATTTTATATTTTAGTATTCATAAAAATCAAAAAATATGAAATAGTACCTGGTGATATGTGAATTTTACACTTACAACCCACTATATGTATATAAAATCCTCCATGACTTCAAATTTGGGTCGTGACCTGAGGTTAGAAACAGTGTACAAAGCAGTAACAATAGAAAACTTTCAATATGACAATCCATTAACAATGCTTTTAAGTTTTAGCCTTAAATTATTTTATATTATAGTCAACAATTATAGTATTTTATATGTTTGAAAAAGATATCTTATCCCTAGATACATATCTACATTTTATTTCTTTAGACTGTCGCAAAACGAATCACTAATTTATTATTGAAAATCTTTTTAACATAAATCTAGAATATACTGAAACATCTTTACAGCTAATATACATTATCAAACTTCAATCTAATGATTATTCAAAAATTATTTAAGGTCTGAAAATCGTTTTGAATTGTATTTAAAACTATAGAAGTTTTAAAATTGAAAGCCTCAAACTATCATTATTTGGACTTTACGTTGATCAATCAGTGAATCAGTCTGCAGGACACTTTCGATTATATTATATTATACCCACCCAGCCGGGCGTTGCCCTTGCGACTCACTTGTGATTATGCGAGCAGTATATTATCAGGTAGGGGTGGTAAGCCACCACTTATATAATTCAAACTTTGTGTTGAATTCGTCACTACATCAAATCCAACTTTTTATTTTCATAAGGATCCATAATTTTTTTTTTTGGTAAAATACAGCTTATGTAACATTAGCAGTCTTTGTTATAGGTGAAAGAATTTTTAAAACGGATAAAACTTTGAACGGGCGAAGCTGAGTAATTCAGCTAGTAACTAATAAGTAATAAATATTAAAATATGCATTTAGATTATTATACTTGTGTACAGTAAATAAACGTGATTAAATATGTCTAATGATGCCTGTACGGCTAAACCTGGTATTTAAATATTAACTTACGTCTTAAAAGAAAAATTTAAATTACTGGCCATCGGTAAAAAAAAGGTTGATAACTTCTGGCATCTGGTTTATACTGTTGGGTACCTACTGTATATCACTATAACACCTATAACAATTAACATCATGACAATAAGACAATATTATTGACAAAATAGATTTTGCCAAGAACCATAAATATAAACATAAACATGTTACAAATTAATAATGCGAGGGAATTAGTAAGTAGATTAAACACAAGATCGCGCTGGGTCTCTTGCCACAGCGTGAGAAGGTCAGTGCTTCACTTATCACCCGTTGGTGGGTACTCAGTATATTATTAATCCGTAATCACTAATCCTGTGGTAGATACCAATACCAAATACTTTAAAGTATTAATTATATTTTGTAGTTTCCTATTGAGAAAATGATAATGTCATAAATTTGGTGTCTATTAATTATTGCACCCTACTCTTCGGGGTTGTATGCAATGTTTGTGCTTGCAAATTAACGTCTCAAAAATAATTGATTTCAAAAATCACTGACTGCAGTAGATACTGAAAATAAATACTGTGAATATCATTGCTAAAAGAGCATTTTATATAAAGACTTCAAAACGCCTCATCAAAACCAAAGGTAAGCAATGTCCTTCAAAACGTATTACTTTTCACATACCAATATATACCAATTTAAGCTGTCATAAATAATAATATTGATGCATTTATTATAATGTTTAGACTAACCATGAGAAATAAAAAAGACCTTCACCTTGCGGCTTGTATTGCTGAATTAGATACAATGACAGAAATACCAGATAAACTAAAGGATTTGGATGTTATATCGTACGTATGAACTAATAATAATCGGAAAGAAACATTTAAATGTAACAAGAATATTAATTTTTTACAGACTAAATAAAAAAGCTGAATTGTTGTTTGAAGGAGCCATGACTGCAAATAATGAAAACGATGAAGAAGTTGTGTATATTTATTTAATGAAATATTGTCAAATTCTACAAGTTATGAAAAAAACTTTTACGAATGATAAAGATTATATCAATCTTATGTACAAAGACAATTTAAAAAAAGCTATAAAAATGTTGACCCATCTTAAAGAGAGTTTGGAAAAAAGGTAAGTTTTTCTGTTGTTGATCTTAAGTAGGTATAAATATAAAAATTTTAATTTTAAGATAAATTACACATCAAGAAATAGGTATTTGATAAATGGTTTATAATTTATCTATGGCCACATGTTGTAACAAAATATTAGTGTTACACTTATTCATTAGATTTTTCATAATTTTTTCTTTCTTTATATTTATTTATATCATTAAACATGTTCTGACTGACTGACTGATCAGCTAAGAGCCTAAACTAATAGGTATTTAATTTATATTCTAGAATATTATTTCTGGTTAAATATTTTAAATTATAAAATCTACTGAACATACACCTTACACATTATACTAAAACTATGTTTTAGTATTATATTATATTTCCAATAGAAATTTTTTTAATATTAAGTAATTTTATCATTTATCTAGAAGCTACTTATTAAATGGTAATTGACACTAATTTATTACTTTGTATTATTCAAAAAGTTGTAACACTTTATCTGATCTTTATGTCAGTCTATTATAAATAATAAAATTAAAATTAAAGTTTTTTATAAGTAAATTTATTGTTGAGTAGACCCAATATTAAATTCTTGTTCAATCTATGTGAAGATATCTTGTTCTCCTCAAAACATTTTTTTCAAATATTTCCTATTGGACATTTCAAATAATTATGGAGTCTAATAAGGTATATTAAAAGTAGTATTGTTAAGACAGAGCCGCCTCTGCTGTCAGTTAATCAGGAAAAAAAAAGTGTGTTGGTCATTAGGTATAATTAAAATTAAGGTCATTTAAAGGAATATAATTAAACTTTTGATTATTTATAAACTAATAATGGTGTTATTTCAGATATGAAGATAAAACAAAAGAAAAAGATAATACTAAATTGATGAAACATTCTAATCAAAACAGAAAACGTTTTGAGGAAAAATTAAATTTTGAGTTTGAAAGTACAATAACTAATGAAAACTTATTATATCTGTTGGACAATACAGATAGAAAAAAGATTTGTTTGCTTGATACCAGACCATCAGATATCTTCAATAAAAAAAAAATTATTTCTTGTGATGTAATTAACATACCAAAAGAGAACTTAGTTCTAGGGTAAAATTACATAATTAACTCCATTTTATAAAAGACATTATATTAATGAAAAACAATTATAATTTTTTAGTTTAACACCTGACATTTTAACAAACAAATTAGATGATCAGTTTAAAGAAATATGGATGAATAGACACAGTTACAATTATATTGTAATATTAGATCAAGGAACAGAAGATATAGATGATGATCAAAGATTACTTAATCTCAAAAATGCCTTACTTAAATGGGATACAACTTGTGATAATAGTAAAAAATTAAAATTTCTCAAGGGCGGTTATGAAGATTTTAATCACTTATGTCCATGGAATACTACTCAAAATAGTATAATAAAATCAAATAAGGATGTTGAACCTCTTTCAGATATAGAATTAGATCCAGAACCTGAATATGAGAAACTTGAAAGTATTGAATATTTATAATATTTATTTTGACTTAATTTAATATTCTTTTTATTATTAGATAAGCCGATTCAATATCCATCTTTGGGTACCGTACAGAATGATTTGGCTAAACTAAAATTTAAATCAACTTTGTATAATGGTTTAACAACAGATATTAAATCAAAGTTGGATCATAGAGACAATTATTCCAGTGAAGAAGATATTGATTCTCAGGAATTAACCCATACACCGATTAACAAACCACATGTACCCATTTTTGATAGATCTACAAAGGTATTAACTATCAAGATATTTAATTAAAAACAAAATATCTATAAATAAATAACCAATTTAAACATGTATTTTATACTTTGCAGCCACCTGTTAAAATTAATCAATTTGTGAGCCCAGAATTCATTAAACCATTGTATAAAAATAATGATGAATTAGATGACGAAAATAATGAAGTATTGAGATCTTTAAAATGTATATTTAGGAAATAAATTAATAAATTATTTTAACCACATTTGTTTCTATAGTTACCAAATAATATTGAACAACTAGAAAATAGAAGATTATCACTTGAAAATGGCTTTTTGGAAAATGTTGATTCTTATGTACACGAATACAAAAATCAAGTATTATGATTAATATTGTATTTTTAGTACCAATGTTGTGTTGATTGTATAATACTATTTAATTATTTTTAGGACACAGATTTAAATTCAATTCCACGTATAGACCGTTCTACCAAACCATCAGATGATCTGCTAATAGTTTCTAGAACAAAAATCATTGTAAGATATTTTTTAATATTTTTAATTTATTGAAGTCAAATTAACTTAAATATAATATCAAGTAATTATTTTAGTGTAGAATACTCATTATTGTAATTCTGTTGTTTTCAAACTGTGGTTAGACTAGGGAAATAAATATTTAGAAAACAGTCCCTGGGAAGTAATTCCTCTGCCAACCAATGGAACCATAATAATATATCCTCGGGACCGACATATTAATCAAATACATTAAAAATGTTTTTTACAATTCATTGATTCATCGTTTTGAATTGTTTTGTATATAGTCATTAGTGGTACAAGGTTAATCCTAATTCACATTTGTAGTGCAGTATAAAATCTGTTTGAGATCCTTTGTTGTTATCAATTATTGCTTAAAAATTATTTTTTATTGAATACCTAATTTGATATTTTTCGAGGCAGCTTATTTTTTTAATAAAATGTACTTTCATACTCTTTTTTTTTTTTTAATTGTTGAGTGTATAAATTAAAGTTTTGGTTTGTAACTAGGGATTTAAAGTTAAAATAAAATGTGTTCTGCTTCAAAATATTTTAATTTGAAATGTAGGTTATCACAGAAAAAAATCCTTTTATCAAGTATATAATATAAAAGTATTGTATTTCTATATTTTATAATAAGTATTCTATTTTAAAGTAATACCCCTTTGGTTACAAAGTTGGCATAGCTACAGTATTTTTTTATTTTGCTGTCAATTTGTTTATTTATTTATTGTTTGAAATAAATTAATATTTTAATTTTGTTATATTCATACAATTGATGGCACGGCAAAGACTCAATGAAATTGATATCTGATTATAATTTCTGGTGGGTGGTATATTGAACTTTTTTGTACCTTCTAAGTTAAGTCAATTTGAGGTTAATGTGTTGCTAGGTCAGTCATAGTTTGTTGTCTTTCAAATAAAACAAGTTTACACTGCTTCTTGTTCATACTGTTTAAGTTATAAATTCCAACAATTGTAATTGCTTCATATTAATTTTTAAATTTTTTGTTTCTTAACATTTTAGGGAGGAGATGGGTTACGAGGATTACAAAATTTAGGAAACACATGTTATATGAATTCAATACTGCAATGTTTAAGTAGCACTGAAGATCTTGTAAAATATTTTATAAACATTTATAGTAAATTCAATAATTTTAAAAGTAGAACAAAAGGTTTAGTAGCCAAAGAATTTAGTAACGTCATTAAAAACTTGTGGTCACAATCTGGCAGGAGTTTTCAGTGTCAACAGTTTAAGGTTAGTAAATTTATGAAATTTCACAACATAATTTAGTTATGCAAATTACAAAATGTATTTATATTTCATCAAATGTTTTATTTGAAGTATAAGTATTAAGTTTGCATAAATTAAAATAAAACAATTTATTTACAATACATAAATATCAAAATAATTATTTAAAAAAAAATTAGGATACAATTGGAGAATATAAAGATATGTTCAAACACTATGATCAACAAGACTCTCATGAATTTTTAACGATTCTCTTGGATTGGCTTCACGATGATTTAAATCAAGTAAAATATTATCTCATAAATTATCATTATTTAATAATTCATATCATCTATTTTTTTTAGCCAGAGGACAATAGGATTATTTTAGGTGCTTCAAAAGAAACTGGCGAAGAAGATTGGGGAAATTGGACTAAAGCAAACAATTCCATTATCCAACAACTATTTTATGGTCAGCAAAAATCAACAGTATCTTGTGACACATGTTTTGAAAAGTCCGTTACTTTTGAACCATTTTTAAGTCTTAGTCTACCATTGCCATCTGAGGGTAACAGATGTACTCTTTCAGTAAGTTACTTTTTTTATATGTATTTTCATTTACTATCCATACAGTTTAGTCAAAGTATTTATTTATTTTATTGATGTAGTGAGAGTTATCTGGGTGAAGTTTGTAAATTTGTCTATCTAGTTGATTTCAGTTACTTCAAAATAATAATCTGTTTCACTATTCAATTTATGAACCGTTCAATTTCTGTTTTGATAAAAATTTAAACTTTAAAGTAGTTATTACATTGTAAATAAATTTATTTTCCAAATAATTTGTTAAAAGTAAAGTTACGTCCTTTATATCAATTTAAATTTGAAAAACTATTATTTTTTTACTATTATTAATTATTATGTTTTGATAATAGTCATAAATTGTGATTAAAAAACAAACGTTATTATAAAAATCATAAACATAATAATTTGATATCAATCAGTTACTCTAACACGACTCGTCATATTGTCAAATACCTAAAAATAGAGCACAAATGTTTTAAAAAAAAAAATATTTTCTTACATTTTGACAAACTCCCTAATTAAAAAATATATAAATGCCACTTATATGATTATAAATTAGCAAATAGCTAAAAAAAATATTCATTTCAACAATGAAATTGACTAAAATTATTTTTATATAGTTTGTTCAAGATATTCTACAAGAATTTGCAAGTGTCCTAATATTGATGTATATAAATAATAAATTTAAATTAAATAATTATTTGGATAAAACTACAAAAAATCTTGTGTTATAAAATATATAAAAATTAAAATATGATATTATATTTTAGGATTGCCTTCAGTTATACTTAAATGGTGAATCAATATGTGGCTGGCATTGCCCTAAATGTAAACGCAGCAGGGATGCTACAAAAAAATTAGACATAATGAGGCTTCCTCCATATTTAATCATACATTTGAAAAGGTATTTTATTGGTTTTTATGTTTTAATATGAATACAATTTTGCTGATAATTTCATTATTTAGATTTTCAAGCAATGGTTACAAAAAGAATTCAAATGTTGAATTCCCTAAAATGAATCTGGATATGTCAAATTTTATCAATGGTTTAGAACACCGTAATTGGAAGTACTGTTTATATGGTGTATCAAATCATATTGGATCACTTGATGGTGGGCATTACACAGCTAGTTGTCTTAAAAATTCAATAAACAAGTAATCACATAGTTCAATTAAAACTTAAATATTTTTGACATGCTCAAGTGCACAATATATGTGTTTTTTACAGATGGTATAAGTTTGATGATGTCCGGGTGTATGAAATTGATTCTTCAACAATTTGTTCTCCTGAAGCTTATATTTTATTTTATTGTCGGAAAAATTAATTTTTTAATTAATAAAACTAACATGTATGTATAGTATTATTTGAGTTTTGTACACAAATAAGTATTTTATTACAGTTTATAATTATTTTTGTTATTAGATGTTGATTTGTTGATGTATCACACTACCTATACTAAATTATTTATTTATAAAAAACTTGTATTTTTTTATATTTTGTATACAACAATTTTAGTTAAATATTAACCTATGTCCTACGCTTTTTTTTGACAATTGGTTAAAAAATAATTGAGTTCTAAATAATAAATTAGTTTAAAAATATATGATATATATATAACTCTTGCCCTTTATACACATTCATAGATATCCAATTTTAAAGTTTTATACATTTTAAAATATGATTATTACTTGGTAATAATTTTAATATTCAATTATACAAATAAATCCATCAAATTACTTGCAACATGTTTCATCATTAATAACTGTTCAAATTTGTTATGCATACAGTGGTGTCCTGAGTTTTTTTTTTTTTGTGGGGGTGGATATTTTTCTTATTTATTCTATATTAATTTTATCTGAAAATGATTTATTTATGAAAATGTTGTTACCTATTACTCAAAAATTTTCGGGGGGAGGAGATTGTGCCCACTAACTCCCCTCCTGGATACGCCACTGAGTAAACAACTAAAATTGAATCCAGGAGCATATTTTTATAATTTATTGTGAAAATGTGTCTAAATTCTAATCTCTATTACTATTTGTAGTGTAAACAAAATTAAATAGCCAAAAATCGCACAACCTTGAAATAAAAATAAGTTATTATTATTAATCGTTATAGTAAGAGTAGTAGTAATAAATAATAATAATAATAATAACAAAAATAGTTGTAGAAGCCAAATAAATACGTATCCACTCAGCGACGTATTATTAGGAAATGTTTAAGGAAGGAGATAAGCTCATGTAATACATATGTATAGGTACATAACTCATAAAAGATTTGCTTAATATTCGATTTGTTTTTTTATAATTTAAGCGTAAATGACACAAACGATGAGTCGTTAAAAGCAACCATAAATTTCAACAAATTCGTATCTAAAATGTTATAAAACAAATAATGGGTTATTACTTATTGTGAGTAAAATAAACATTACAAACCAAATATTATTATATTATAGCCCTAGCCCCTAGGACTCCGCCGAACACAGATAGTTTGTTAACAGCTGATGTATATTGCATACTGTACAGTGTACACCTAGGCTGTAGACAGGGGGGAGGAGTTCAACTCCCCCCCCACGAATTATTTTTTAAATAAAGATTAGTTTAATTTAAATTATATTTTCATAATATAACATATATATACTCCAACCCCCCCCCCTAAATATTTTTCTGGCTACGGCCTTGCTGTCACGTCACGTCATTCTGCACTGACATTAAGATTCAAGACATTTTATTCTTGTAATAAGTCATAAATGGAATTATGTAAGAGAGGTTAAAATGACGAACAAACATGTTTAAAAGTAAGTACGTATGGTCAAAAAGTGCATTATACTCTTACCAACCATCAGACAGGCCCTGATTTACACAAGTGCAGATGGAGCATTTGCACTTGACCCGCAATTTCTGGGGGCTACCGGTCTCCGTAAGTTGTAGACATTTTTTTTTTTAAATAAATTCCACAAAAATGTATTTTGTAAAATGTAATACCAACTATCAATGTTCAAAGTTCAGTATACATTTTTATCATAATTGTCAGTTGAATTTTGGTTTTGTTTGTCATTCCACATCCCAGTGCTAATCAGTTACTATCACAAAATGTTAAAATAATAATAATAGAAAATTGTTTGAACTTCGGAAACATTTGATATCTAATTAGTAATAACTATTTATAGATTTCTTCAAGCCCAGTATTTACAGATTAACCCGTCATTGATGACGCTATGAGCATTTCGCTCACCCTCACACAATTACCATTTTTAGAACCACTGCCTGCTTTATATTTCATTCGATTTTGACAATATTTTATATTAAATTCTTCATTCCGTTATTACGACAAACGTCTCGTAATCGCAGGTAGACGTAGAGCGCATACGACATAGCCGAATAAAATGATTCAACAACTATTGGGTCAGGTATATATAGATATATTATGTTACGGGAGTTTAAGCTTCCCATATCGGTAAAAATATACAATAATTTATTAGTTTAATTATTAAATACATTAACCATTTAAGTCATTTAACATTTAACTAATTATAATTAATCACGTAATTATATTTATATTATACAGTGACACAGTGTATTATTATGAACAGTAACAATTATATTGGCATTAATGAACAAATTACCTTTTATATGCAATAGAACATTCAATTAATCAGTTACAAAGTACAGCAATTTTCAATATGGTTACCTTAAATCGAACGGCATCGAATTTATCAGTTATAGCTCCTGGTCTTTACAAATGAAAAAAATAGTATAATCAGTATCATCATCGCGTTTACCTGCCTTTAAGACAAACGTTGCGACCCCCCCACAAAAAAATTACCATTTTAAATTTAAGACCAACAAACTTTTGTTTTTATTTGAAAAGTGCAATCCCCTTCGTGGCATGTAGGTTAGCTGTATAAAAACGATATTTCCAAAGGCACCGACTTTAACTCTTTAAAATCAACGACTGTGTGTATTTTTTTCTTTTTACATTTTTGAGAAATCTACATGTACCTAATTTACGTATAAAACATAATAATTTAGGTACTCTACAAGTTTCATATAGGTACCAATGAATTATTATTTTTCTTTAACTTTTTTAAGGTACAACAAAATAACTAAAACCGCAAATCTTAGTCTTACATTAATTTTTTCTTTGTACAACAACTATGTAGATTTACGCACGAAAAAACGTTTTTGTTATGTTATTTGATTGGTTTTATTTAATAGGTATTACATTATTTTTAATAGGCGCATCAACGGGCTGAAGTAAAATTAATTTATACGGCTTGCTAGGAATTGTATTGAATTGTCAAGCTTATTGACGAAATAAGAACACAAAAATAATTACTAATAACAATAATAGTTTGGCCATTTGAAAAACAAACGTACAATATTATACAGAAGCCGGAGCTTAACTGCTCTCATTCCCAATTATTTTAATATATCTTTTAGACCTTATTAGTGGTCTTCCTCACGTGGATAGGTACTATAGAAAAAGACCACGGACTTCGGGCCATCAAAAGGCCGCTCATATTATATAAATATAACAATTTGGTATCCAATTAGCATAGTAATTAGTATTATAGCCAGTAGCCGTAAAGTTTTCGAAATATTTTGAGTGTTTACGGACTTTTTAAAATATATTTAATGATAATTTGCTTAGTAAGTATTTTTTATTTTTTTTTAAATTGTCTTTTTTCATTATTTCGTTATCATTGACATAATTGGCAGCTTGTGCGGATTCGATCGCCAGACCCCTGTGAATCGACGCAGTATATATACTTTAGTCTTTAATGTAGACACAATGTGATGTTCATACAACAACAATAAAAACAATAATAATTATTATTGTTTTAGATTCTGAGCTGAGCGATTGATGGTTTACAATGGTTTGTCCGTGTTTTTCCGTGTGTTTTAGGGCAGAGAAATGTAACCACACCTGTAAAAGTATACCTACTTTCACTTGGCAAAAACCTTTAGTATATTTTATTGAGATTTGGTACAAAACTAAAAAAACATGTTGGTTAAATGATTAATAATCTTCGTGAGCCATTATCCTGTTAAAATAAATAAAATTGTATTCGTATTCGTATAACTTAAAATAAGAAACAACATTTTTATTGCATAATTAAACAACTCACAATCGTATGTTTATATAACATAGGTTTAAGAAAGCTCTTAACTCTATTGAAAATGTTGAATTAGTTGTATGCCGAAAAAATTAAAAAATGCAATACAAATCATGCAAAAAAAAACAGTAAACAATAATTTTAATAATAAAAAAAGGCATCAGACAAGACGAGGCGACGTGGGGGGTACGCGATGGTGAATGGGTGGTGCAATTGATGTTTGCAAGTAAGTGGCCACTGGTCACCAATAATATTTTTGCCCGGCCACGACGGCCGCGATATCGACGATGGTTGACGACGAGCGGCTAGTGCGCGATGTTATGCGCTTGACGGTCTTGCAAATTCTGAAGACGTTGACTGTTGTGCCGGCGACGAAAGGTGACCTATAGCTCGGAGAGCTTAGATCATATACTAATAAATTATCTAAGTCGGAGAGAGTGTCGAACACTATAATCTCGGTGCTTGCGGAATCGTCGGCGATCGGAGGCTTTGCGACTCGGCCGGCGGGATGAGACAACTGGGAGAAAATCTGCGGACAACACCGCAACGCACAGCTGTCCTGATACTCCCCGTGGTTTCGCCCTGGCGATGGCGTCCCGTCGGCACCGTATATCGGCCGCACCCGATGGCCCCGCCGCGAAGTCGCGCACCGCCGAACCCTGAAACTTTTCATCCCCGAGTCCGGCGCTTCTGACGTCCTTGTGCTTAGCTATATACCTTTTAATTTAAGTCTTTTATCACCCACTCATCGTGACCTCGCCGCGCGGCGGCGGCGTCGTCGTCGTGTAGTCGTCACCAGCTAGTCCGAACCTTTCGAATTTCGTCCGAATCCGTCGTCGTATATTTAAAACAAAACATTGTTTATTACTACCCGGCGAGTACGGCACAATCATGTTATTAATCGCACAGCATCAACTGACATTTTTAAAATCTCGGTTCACGGTTAACTTAATCCTTTCATGCTTAACGCCTTGAATATTAATTAACATTACTTATTCAAAATTGTTCGTTTAGGGTATACTGATTCGATAAACATAAAACCGTTTTGCACGTTCATAATAACTTTATTGTTTTAAAAACGATTTAAGTCACTGGGGTATAACTTCAAGTTTGATCGTATTATCGTAATACTAATACATAAGATATAAGAATATTTAGGTATATTATACAATATACACTGACAGGCGGAAGCGTAACAAGTCGCAACCATCGGATGGAGACTTTAACAGTATCGTACATTG